AATCTATATTTCGAACCCGCTCCTTCCTCAGATGCCGGTTTTTTGTGAGACATGTGTCGGCAAGGTCACTATCCTGTCCCCCCTTCCCCTAATGGAACCCCCACCCCAAATCAAGGGGGAAACTGCACACGTTGGGGTGGGTGGGTGGGGGGGAAAGGCAATATCACATATTGGTGTAACTCTGTATAGGTGTCAATGTGTGAAAGAGGAAACAGAGATACATATATAGGATGCACGTCCAGCTCTGCATTTCTAAGAGATAAATAGATAATTGAGCAGGCCAATCTATGTCCCGTTTTGGGATGGATGGGTCTTAGGGAATGTACAAGACCTGGCAGAATTTTGTGAGATTTCAGCCTTTCGCCTCCAAAGGGTAGGAAATTGCATGCCGCCAAAAAGTTCATCGTCAGGCCATGAAGAAGAAGAAGGGGGGTTTCCCATAGGGTGCAGAGATTATAAGAGGGATAGGATCGGGGGGGGGGGCTCCAAAGAGGAACATAAAGTGGGTAGGGTGGTGACGGGATATTTGGGATGTCAAAAGATTATAGCAGCTAAGGTGTGGCCGTGGATAGCTCAGAGGTTTAAGCCTATGATCGTGGAGCCAGAGGTTGGGGGTTTGATTCCCCCTTCCAGCTACAGTATGTGGTTCCAAGATGATGATGATAAAGATGGCTCATTGAAGCTAGTGATCGGTTTTGTTTCCAGCAGGCAGCTTTTATCCCACATCCAGCTTTTTCTCAAGGATGGCTGGGGGAGTTGAGCCCAACATAAGCCTTGAATGGATTTAGACCACACCGTGCCCTGTTTTACTTAATGTACTGTGCTTTATATACAGTCTATACATAACTGATAAAATAAATATTCAATTGCAAGGTGCTTTGGGTGGGGGGGCTGCTTAGAAAGACAAGATGTTCACCAATCAAACAAGCACAGCCATGGAGAAGATCCAAATATCTCCAGATGTGTTTGGACATCATCTATCATCCTCCCTCTCCCCCCCATGTGCTGGCTAACTGGGGCACATGGGAGTTAGAGTCTGAAACAGCTGCGGAGTACTGGGTTTTTGAATCTGAAACGAAGGGCCCCGGGCTTTCAGAGCAGATGCTGCGTTTCAAGACAGGAAGCTTTGCAAATAATAATTAACACCGTCGTATTGATTCTGACTTACGGTGGCCAAACCTTTCCAAGGTTTTGCAGGTAGGGAATATTCAGAAGTCATTTATCGTTCCTTTCTTTCGGGGGCAGCCCTGGGACTGTGCAGCTTGCCCAAGGCCACCCAGGCTGGCTCTTCTCCCTGGAAGCACAGTGGGGGGAATCGAACTCACAACCTCTCTCTCCGCAAACAGAAACTTTAACCGCCCTGAATTCTCCAGCCCTCCCCTTTATCTGCTGCCTCTTTTTGACAGCCCTGAGAATGAAAACATGAATCACAACTACGAGCTACCCTTAGGATCGGAGTCCATCTGCTTCACACTGCTGGTCGTTGGGGAACATGGGTGTGTGTGTGTGTGCTTTTCTGTCCATGTCTTATGGAATTTCCATGGGATTTTTGGGGGGGGGTGTTAGACAGGCTGGACCGGAGGCATCTTCATCTGTTCTTTTAAGCTGCCGTACTGTTCTTTTAAGCCACGATAATCAGGTAACGAGGAGACCTTCCCAGATAACGTGGATTTGTCCAGAAAGACAAATAAACTGGGGGGCGGATCAAATTAAAACCCTCACAGAAAGCTCAACAGACTATTGTATGGTTCGTGAGAAGAAGAAAGCCACTGGGGGGAAAAAGGATAAGAAGTTTTGTATGTAGTGGAAGACAGTAGGGAAAGAGGAAGACAGAACCTGCGATGGACTGATTCGATCAAGGAAACCACCGCTTTCCATTTGCAAAACCTCAGCTAAAGACAAGCCGAGACAGAATCCACTTTCTTCTGCTTCACACAGTAAGGATGCCTTTTTTTCCTCCTGAAGCATGATGCCTTTTCTTTCTGCTTCGATCCCTCGATACATTCTCCCCCCCCCCAAAAAATGAAGAAAATGTGCTTTCCCCCTTCAGGATCGCCCCCGTTCGAAGGCAAATTTAATCAGCGCACTCCATGGTTCATAAGCAGGACCGAGTGAGATTTGTTTCAGCTACAGTCTTATGAAGTGACATTTCCACCTAAGTGGAAGAAATGTTTAAATCCCGGCTTCTCTCCTTTCTTGTAAAATGGAAGAATTGTTTTTTACAGGGGTAGCAACAAAATCGAGAGGTAATCAAGCTGAAGTAAAGTGGCAATGAGTAACAAACCCGTCCGTCCGTCCGTCCGTCCGTCCGTCCGTCCGTCCGTCCGTCCCTTCCTTCTTTCTTTCTTTCTTTCTTTCTTTCTTTCTTTCTTTCTTTCTTTCTTTCTTTCTTTCTTTCTTTCTTTCTTTCTTTCTTTCTTTCTTTCTTTCTTTCTGGGGGTTCCCTGAGATTACAAAGGATATTCCAGAAAAGTGACTTCTTTGAACGAACGCTCTGACAGCCATAGAAACGGTCAAGGTTCATCGTTTGACCCCTTGCCTTATCGTAGCCTCTCCAACCTCGCAGGGCGGTTGTGAGGATCCGAATGGAGAGTTCCTCGTCCACCGTTTTGATCTCCTTCAGGAAAAAACCGGAGTACCAGGAGAACAGAGGGTGTACTACGAAGGAGAGTGAAACCCCATCAGCACCCGCTGAGGGATGATGGGTGTGGTAGTCTGACAACCTCGAGAGGAGCGGGAAGGGCCGGCCCGAGTTCAAGAATCCGCACACGGACGCTCGGATCCAAGACTCAGCTGTCGGTTTGTATCTTGAGGATGCTGGCAGGCGGAGAGAGCTGGCATAGGATCTGATGCTCCCATCCACCCTGGGGAATATATATTTTCCAGAGAGTTGGTTTATCTCCCGCCCTGCTCCTCCTCCAATCGATACTTCCCAAAGCCTCTTTGTTCAAGCCGTTGCCTCTGTTTTTGAACGGCTTGTCAGAAAGAGAGGCCGGCGGATTTGATGGATCGCAGCCCTCTCCAACCGGCGGGCAAGGAAGGGAGGAAACAGCCCGTCTCTTGTCCGCCACGGCCCTATCAAATAGGGTTGCCATGTTTTTTCCATCCTGATGCTCCTGTGCCTTTCCACAGCAGCACAATATAGGAGTTTCAGCCAATAGGAGAGGGTACCCAACCCTATCTAAAGGATGTTTAACAGATTTTATTTCCTCCCTGGTGGTCCTGATTACCAGCTCTTTTCTCTCTGATGCTCCTGACTACCAACTCCTCTCTCTCGGATGCTCCTGTGCTGTTCACAAAATTTCATACGTTAGAAATTCAACTACTGCAGCTGCAGCCAAAGGAGATTTTCGAGGGTGATTTGATGGCATGCCGCAAAAAACGACTGAAAAAAGGTTAGCTTCGGAGGTAAGGCAATGTTTGCTAAACCTGGTTCTTCAATCTCGATCTTCCTGTTCCTCCGGCTCCACAGAGAATATTGGCACTCTGCTATTCATCTTCAGAACAACGACCCTCCGAAGTAGGCCAGTTGGGGAGGCAAGACCAGGCAGACCGAAGGTCAAGGAGACCGAATCATCGCCAAGGGATCTAGACACGCCGTGCCCGTTAGAAGAAGACACCTCGGGGTCTCGAAAGCTCCTTTTTTTGCGTTCCTCTCCCCACGAGATGTTCTGGAATTTTTTTCTAGTGGCCATTCCCATTGTTTTCTTCCCCCCTCTGAACCGGCTGGGATTAAAAATAAACCCAGGTCTGGTGGAGAGATAAGGGACCGGCCGGGCGGCTCCGGCTGCCGATGACGCCTGGCCTGGCCCAGAAAGCCAACGGCTCTTGGCGGGCCGTAATTCTGAGCAAGCTGGGGAGGTGCTGACATTTTCACGGCCTGCCAAAATAGGATCGTGAATGCTTTGGATTAGCTCTGACCTCAGGGGATGTGGGGGGGGGGTTGGAAGCCTGCCCGGCCTGCAGGAACTTGACTCACATGGCCAGGGGAAAAAGAGAGAGAGAGAGAAAAAAACGAAGACGCAGCTGCTGTTCCAGCCTCCGAGGACGGATAGGGGAAGGCGAAGCGGTGCCAGGCCGGGGAGAAAATCTTGCTCAGCCCAGCCGGCTGAGATTTGTGAAATTCACGGCGGGGACTGGTTTAGAAGCACCGCCGACAAGCAGGGTGGGCAGAGAGCACGAACCGGCCTTCTTATCGGAGACTCCATCTCCAGGGGCAGTCTACCTGCAGAGACCGGTGGCTCAAGAGCAAAGACAGAGAGACGGAGCAGGCATTTTTTAAAATATTACTTTCAAACAGCCCTCTCAAAGTCACTGCCCCCCCCCCAACTGGCTCTCCTTGCATCCGCTTTGTTGCCTCCCAGTCACAGAGCGACACTGCAAGGTCGGCGTGAGCCGCTCTTTGAACGCTGCGGTGTTCCTTCTCTGCCGTTTAGTGAAGTCCGCCTTCTGAATCTGAAAAGGAACCAAAAAGTTAACAGTTACTTTGCAAACAGAACTGACACTCGTTAAATTAGTTGTATTGAAATGTAGTTACACCTTTGTTACTGGAGAAAGTAACTGCTCACAAGTAACTAGATCTTGGGCCCCGTTTATCCACAACTGGCAACAAACCTCTACTAAACCCACTGTTGACCAGTTTGCAGGCTGGGGTTAGCAACCCGGTAGCGATCTTTTCATTTTTCCATGCTGGACATCGGCCCATGAGCCTGCCGTTAAAAGCAGAAGAGCGAGGACAATTTTTAAAGTTGGCAACCCCAACTTAACCAAAAAGACAACTGAGAGAGAAGGGTCTCCCTCACTTTCTAAAAATCCCACCAAACTTATAACAACCGCAACAAAAAACGAACAACAACAACAACAATAATAATAATCTTTGAATGGCAGAGCTGGAAGGGATCCTATAGATCATCAAGTCCAACCTCAGTCAAGGAGGCACAGTGGGGAATTCGAACTCCCAACCTCTGGACCCGCAGCCCAACTATGAGGCTATCCAGAAGGGTCTTTTGGGGTGTGATTTCTCAAGGGGCCTGTAGCTCACTCTGTCCCTTCTTGCCCTCCTCTCCAAACCCCACAGGGTCGCTGGCCACTGACACCGAAGAGCGGCTGGTGGAGCATCTTCTGGACCCGGCCCGGTACAACAAGCTGATCCGCCCGGCCACCAACGGCTCCGAATTGGTCACGGTGCAACTGATGGTCTCGTTGGCCCAGCTCATCAGCGTGGTATGGATGATGGGGAAAGAGGGGGAGATCGGAGGAGAGGATGGACCGGGAGGTGGGGGGGGAGAGAGCCACCTAATTGGGTTTATCCTAGCAATGGCGGGTGGGGTTGAAGCACAACACCATCGTCCTCATCATCTTAGAGCTGCAGAGCTGGAAGGGACCGGATGGATCATGGAGTGGGGGAAGGAAGCCTAGTGGGAGGAATCAAACTCCCAACCTCTGGCCCCGCAGCCAGAGACCTAACTGGGGAGGGGGGGTCTTCATAGCCTAGCCTCTGTCTCCTGAAGATGACAGGGAGGAACGGAAGACCGTCACCATCATCCCACTTCCAGCTGCCGAACAACAGGATAAATTTAGGTCCGCTGGAGCAGCTCAGCTGCTCTTAGGCCCCCGAGGGCGCGATGGGCGATTTCTCCCGACACTTGGGGCTCCCAAGAGGGTGCCCCACCATGGCTGAAAAAAAGCCATCGCAGAGTTCGCCTCTGAGACCAAACCCCCAATTAAAGGGGGACCCGATCCGAGTTCGTTTTCCAGACCACTTGAAAGCCGAATTGAACCTGCATAAGGGCTGGCACCCCTGAGGCTTCCTGCCAGGTCCGGCTGCTCAGATTTCGGACCCGTGACTGCGAGGCTACGCCAATGCCACCGTTATCATCCTGGCTGGGGATGATGGGGGATGTAATCTAAGAGAGCTGGAGAGCATTGGGAAAAGGACGGTGGGGGAGGAAATAAATTTTATGCATTATATACAGAAGGAGCCCCATATCTGTGAACTTCCAGCTGCCGAACAACAGGATAAATTCAGGTCCGCTGGAGCAGCTCAGCCGCTCTTAGGCCCCAGAGGGCGCAATGGGCGGTTTCTCCCGACACGGTCTGAAAATATTAAAAGAAAAATCCTAGAAATGTATATTTCTAAAGATGACATTATCAGAACCGGCCGCTAGAGGGAGCCAAAGAACATGCTGTGTATGGTGTCGGCTGTCAAAACAGTGTTTGCTGTTATCTGCATGTTTCAGTATCTGCGGGAGGCTCGGCCAGTGTTTATTCCAGTTTTTTTTTAATTGGGCGTCTTTGATGTCCTCTCCCTTTCTGCCTTTTTCTTCTTCCCCAGCATGAAAGAGAACAGATCATGACTACGAATGTGTGGCTGACACAGGTAAGACCTCCTCCACTCCGTTTCCGCACTGAATGACGGTTTGCGCATTCTGACAATCACTCCTGCATATCGGTCTCCTGCTCCTTTTAAAGCAGGATTTTGAAAAAAATAAATAAATGGAAACATTGCCACCCCCTCCTTTTTTGGATGAGAAAAAGAGAGAGCCAGGCAGAACTTGTAGAAGAACCACAGAATTAAGAGAGTCGGAAGGGATTTTAGGATTCTAGACCATCCCCGACACCCTTTGGTGCAGAAAGCAAATAGAATAGAACCTCTCTTAGTATCCGCTGGTACACTTATCCGCGCTGCTTGAAAATACAAAATAAAAAAAAAATCTTGGCCTGCAGCTCAAATCTATGTTCCTTGCCATTTCCAAGCCTTGGGTCTAATCCTGCTCCTGAATAACAAAGAATAAGGCTGCTCTCCCCCTCGGTACAAGACCCAGCCTGATTATTTGGAGGCTGGCTTTGGAAAGGGTGTCTCTCAACTGGAATCGACCGATCAGAAGTGATCGTATTTATCATCCTGGCTCGGCGGCACCTTCTGCCGGCTGAATCTTGTACGAGAGGCTCCCCCAGGGCAATGGGGGAAAGGCTGGGGGTGAGCTTAAGGTGGCAGCCGGAGGGAGGGGGAGACCTTGGCATGGGTCCCCAGCTTTTGACCATGTCTCCTCGGGGACCCTCTTCCCGCCCCTGCAGGAATGGGAAGATTATCGTCTGACCTGGAACCCGGAAGAGTTTGATGATATGAAGAAGGTGCGCCTGCCCTCCAAGCACATCTGGCTTCCAGATGTTGTACTTTATAACAAGTAGGTACCGAAGCTTTCTGTGACCCAGGGCTTCGTGATTCTGGGGCTTAAGAGATGGGTAGATGAGTTTTCCCTCTGTTGAGGGCTGGGTTTCCTTGGGGAAAATCTGCCAGGTAGGGCAGATAATGGTACTAGGGAGAACAAAACCCAACAGGAGATGCATTCACCCTGTTTTATACCGTGCTCCATGTTTCTTTAATTTGTCTCTTTTCCCCCTTGGTGGCTCTTTCTCTTTTCTCTCTCTCTCTCCCCCCCCCCCGCATGAGCCTTATCATTTTTACACCCCAAGACTCTTTCCCCAATACCCAATTATGTGACCCAGGGCTTCGTGATTCTGGGGCTTAAGAGATGGGTAGATGAGTTTTCCCTCTGTTGAGGGCTGGGTTTCCTTGGGGAAAATCTGCCAGGTAGGGCAGATAATGGTACTAGGGAGAACAAAACCCAACAGGAGATGCATTCACCCTGTTTTATACCGTGCTCCATATTTCTTTAATTCGTCTCTTTTCTCCCTTGGTGGCCCTTTCTCTTTTCTCTCCCCCCCCCCGCATGAGCCTTATCATTTTTACACCCCAAGACTCTTTCCCCAATACCCAATGATACCATTTTAATCCTTCTTATTCCTGGATGAGACATGATCAGAGATAAGGAAGGTGGGAGGAGATGATCAGAGATAAGTAAAGGTGGAAGAAATGATCAGAGATAAGTAAAGGTGGAAGAAATGATCAGAAATAAGAGAGGGTGGAAGAAATGATCAGAGATAAGAGAGGATGGTTGGAATGATCAGAGATAAGAGAGGGGTGGTAGGGAATGATCAGAGATAAGTAAAGGTGAAAGAAATGAGCAGAGATAAGAGAGGGTGGTAGGGAATGATCAGAGATGAGTAAAGGTGAAAGAAATGAGCAGAGATAAGAGAGGGTGGTAGGGAATGATCAGAGATGAGTAAAGGTGAAAGAAATGAGCAGAGATAAGAGAGGGTGGTAGGAAATGATCAGAGATAAGAGAGGGTGGTAGGGAATGATCAGAGATAAGTAAAGGTGAAAGAAATGATCAGAGATAAGAGAGGGTGGTTGGAAATGATCAGAGATAAGTAAAGGTGGAAGAAATGATCAGAGATAAGAGAGGGTGGTAGGAGATGATCAGAGATAAGAGAAGGTGGAAGAAATGATCAGAGATAAGAGAGGGTGGTAGGAAATGATCAGAGATAAGTAAAGGTGGAAGAAATGATCAGAGATAAGAGAGGGTGGTAGGAGATGATCAGAGATAAGAGGGGATACTCAGGCCGCTCCAGAGATGAATATGAGCCCATGGCTTGGTTTGTGATGCCTAGAACAGAGTACGTCAGTTTCTCAGGCTTCTCCGTTGGTGTCCCTCTGTTCCCCCCTCCCCGCCAGTGCCGACGGGATGTATGAGGTCTCCTTCTACTCCAACGCTGTGGTGTCTTACGATGGCAGCATCTTCTGGCTCCCTCCGGCCATCTACAAGAGCGCCTGCAAGATCGAGGTGAAGCACTTCCCGTTCGACCAGCAAAACTGCACCATGAAGTTCCGCTCGTGGACCTACGACCGCACCGAGATCGACCTGGTGCTGAAGAACGACGTAGCCAGCTTGGACGACTTCACCCCCAGCGGCGAGTGGGACATCATCGCCCTCCCGGGCCGGAGGAACGAGAACCCCAACGACTCAACCTACGTGGACATCACCTACGACTTCATCATCCGCCGGAAGCCGCTCTTCTACACCATCAACCTGATCATCCCTTGCATCCTGATCACGTCCTTGGCCATCCTGGTCTTCTACTTGCCCTCCGACTGCGGGGAGAAGATGACCCTCTGCATCTCGGTCCTCCTGGCGCTCACCGTCTTCCTCCTCCTCATCTCCAAGATCGTACCGCCCACCTCGCTGGACGTGCCCCTCGTGGGGAAGTACCTGATGTTCACCATGGTCCTGGTGACCTTCTCCATCGTCACCAGCGTCTGCGTGCTGAACGTCCACCACCGCTCGCCCACCACCCACACCATGCCCCCCTGGGTCAAGGTGGTCTTCCTGGACAAGCTGCCCACCCTCCTCTTCATGAAACAGCCGCGGCAAAACTGCGCCCGCCAACGCTTGCGGCAGAAACGCCAGAGCCAGGAGAAGTCTACCGGCAGCTTCTTCCTGCGAGAGGGGGCTCGGTCCTGCACGTGTTACGTCAACCCTTCCGCCGCCAAGACGTTCGGGGCAGGGGGCGGCGGCAACAGCGGCGGCGGGAGGCCCTTCACGGAAACGCCCGAGGGGGTCAATGGCTATCGGGAGAAGCCGGGTCAAACGGTGCCGCCAGCCCCGCCGGGCCAGTGTTCCTGCGGGCTGGAAGAGGCGGTCGATGGAGTGCGCTTCATCGCGGACCACATGAAGAGTGAAGATGATGATCAGAGCGTGAGTATGACTCACCTACACCGGCAAGGGGAGGCGGGTTAGACTAGATGACCTTTGAAGGGACCCTTCTAAAGCTAAAACCCCACCTTTCTACTAGGAAAATCCCGGGCAAAAAGAAAGAGGGAAGCTTTGGGTGTTTTTAGCACATGGATTAAAGGGCACAGCATCTCCCACTTGCAGTGAGGATGGGGTTGGTCTAGATGACCTCTAATGTTCTCTGGGTTCAAAAAAAAAAGCTCGAGAGTTCCTTTTTTGGGAGGTGGAAAGGAGAAAGAGCTGGCGTTGATGTGAACCGCTAGGTCGTCATAGAGCAACGCCTGTGAGATGTGCAACCGCCCATTCCGTATCTCATCACGTCTAAAAAGTTTGATTTTCGACCTGGGTAGCTCCGAGCCGTTCTCCCGCAGCTGGGAAGACCCACGGCTTCCAAATCAGACACGATTCCTGTGAATTAAAAGACGTCTCGATGCCTTGAGCCGAGACACTCTGGCAGCCGCCTCGCCCTGCTTGCCGATCCAGCGTGCTGCTTCTGACGGAAAGAGGATCACACAGAGAGGTCCCGACCCACCAAGGTTGGGAGATTCCCAGACAAAGCCAAGAGATTGGGATGGCGTTAAGTCTGAGGTGTGTAAAAATAACGGCAAGTCGGAGTCAGGGCGGGATGCACCAGTGCTTGAGGTCGGAGTTCGAATCTTCCACGGGGCCTCCTCGACCGGGGCTGGACTGGATGATCTATAGGATCCCTTCTTGCTCATCGGTTCTAAGATGACGAGGATGACATCCGGAGCCTCCCTTTGCCAAGTTCTCTCCATTGTTTATGGGGGGGATCTCTCTAGAGGGGCCAAAGAGGTTGCGTCTGGCCCTATTTTTTTCTGCCTAAGGAGGGAGTCAAAGCCGGATGTCCTTTGGTGACCCTCCCTCTCCCCTCCCCAGCCGCTCGCTCGGCAGCCGTGTTCCTCCGGCTGAGCAGTGAGACACGAGAGAATCAATATTTTTCCCCCTTCTGCTTGGCTGGGTTCCAGTGCTGAAAGGCGCATGAAATATTCAGGCGTGGGGGAGAGAGAGAGAGAGAGGGAGGCGGGGACGTCGGCGCCCCCAAAGAGGTCCAGAGAAACAGGTTCTGCTTTCTCCCCTGCTGGCCAGGAAGGTGGGGAGGCGTGGTGGTGGTGATGATGATGATGGGGGGGAGGCCTCCCGAGAGCGGACACTCACCGCCTCCCCATGTGGCGTCTGTGATCAGAAGCCCCCGCGTCTCTTCCCTGTGGCTGATCCAAACCCGGAGGCTTCGCCAGGCCCTTTCTGAATCTGAGGATGCTCAGGTCCCCCGGGCAACCCCGGATGGCAAGTTTTCAGCGGTTGCCATGGGAACCAGCAAGGAGGAACAATCTGGAGCTCAAGCCGATCCAGGCTCGGGGTCAAGGGGTGCGAGCAAGAGAGGCAGCAGGAGGAGTGTGGGAGACAGACACGGTCCGGTCTGTTTGACCCCAACGGAGGAGCAGCTGGATAACACAATGGTCGAGGTGGGGAGTTCGAATCCCCTCCTGTGCCTCCTTGAGAGGGGCTGGCCTTCATGATCTGAGGAATGGGCGACCCTTTCTAGGGAGAAAAGACTCCGAAGCGCTTTACCCTTCCCTTCCTCAAGGGGGAGCCCTTGGACTTTGCAGCTGGCCCAAGGCTACCCAGGTTGGCTTTTCTCCCAGGAGGAGGTTTGAATCCTCAATGTGGCTTTTAAATTATGTGACTAATAAACCCATGCCAATGTACAGTAGATGAGAAAAATCCATGCTTTCCAATACTGTATATAGCTCAAACTGAGCTGGAATATGTATGCCACTGGTGGATTGGATCCAGACTTAAGACATGCACCATCGGACCAAAGAAAAACATGTTTTTCTAGCCCTTACACTCTGTGTCAACAACTCCAACCCACTGGAAACATTACACGGCAGGGCGAGCTATGGTATATTCAGAGCATCCCCTGAAATCAAGAAGAGGGACTTCCCCCTAAGTAGCTAAAGCCCTCGGTGCCATTTTTGGAACTTGCCAGGGCATCATCCTCCTTCCCCAAATCATGCCACTATACGTATTTTTAATTATGTATCTGGCTGGGCAGCTTGGCATCCTCCTTCCCCAAATCATGCCACTATATTTTTTATTATGTATCTGGCTGGGCAGCTTGGTAGTTTATGGTTGTGGAGCCAGAGGTGGGGAGTTCGAATTCTCCCTGGGATCCCGGGAGATGAGCCAGCCTGGGTCGCCTTGGGCAAGCTGCCCAGTCCCAAGGGCTCCCCCTAGAGGAAGGGAACAGCAAACCACTTTTGTGTGTTCTCTACCTAGAAACCCCTGAAAATTCAGCATATTTATCATATCATCATCATCATCATCATCATCATCATCTTTTCTCTACTTTTCAGCTGAATCTGTCTAAAAGCCATTAAAACCATCGGGCTGAATTAGTTTCCTGTTGGTTGGCTGCTCAAATGGAGCAGTGAACCGGGGAACTCATTCGAATCAACAATCTCTTGGTTTTGAAAAATGCCCGTTCCCGTTTTTGTGCCCGAAATCTGGGGACAAATTTCCCACTGAATTTCAGCGTAGCGGCGGGAGGCAAGGGGAGGTCGTGTGGGGCAGACCCCTAGATAAATCCGTGCCGTAGCCGACCCCATCCACCCTGTGCTCGCCGAAGCTTGGCCGAATTGGGATCTGGATTTGAGGGTGTGTATATATATAGAAATGGCCTAAGAGCGTCCAAATCCCAGTTTCTGTCTGAAAGCCCGGTAAATAGGCATAAAAGCAGCCTGACCGAGCCTCGAATCCCGAGGGACATCCCGTGGATGGGCAAACAAAGGCGATGGATTCAGAGTGACAGGCGACGGCACCCTGCCACCAAGGCCGGCTGGCTTGTTTCGAGCATTTTCTTGCTGCCGTGAAAACACCAGGTTTTCAATTTCCCACTAAAAGCAGCAAAAACGAGCAAACGAGAAAGCCGTGGCAGAGCAAAATCCTGCCATGGAAAGCAGGATTTTAAAAATACACGGCCGGGCTGTCTTCGAGAAAGGACACAAAAATCACCTTTGCTCTTTAAAATATGGAAAGCGGTTGTGCTCCTACTTTGGGAAGTGCCAGATCTGTGAAATATATTTATTTCACAGATCTGGCACTATATATATATATTCTTGCAAGTAGAGCCAGCCTGGGGAGCCTTGGGCCAGCTGCACCGTCCCAGGGCTCCCTCTAGAGGAAGGGAAGGGTACAGCGCCTCTGAATATTCTCTACCTGAAAAAAGGATTGCCAGGTTTCAGTACTGATTGAATGGCAGATAGTTAGCTGCAGGAGCCATGGATCTAATTATGGGTCAAAGAGATGGCAAAGGGTCAAGAAGAAACAATGTCCCCCCCCCCCGACTGATAAGGGATCATCCTCTACCTGTCCTTCTCTCCCAGGTAAGCGAGGATTGGAAATATGTGGCCATGGTGATCGACCGCCTCTTCCTCTGGATTTTTGTTTTCGTCTGCGTCTTCGGCACCATCGGGATGTTCCTCCAGCCGCTGTTCCAGAACTACGCCACGAATTCCCTCCTACAGATCCATCAAGCGGCCCCCGGGAGCAAGTAAGAGGCTTGGTTTGCCTGCTTCTCCCCCTTGGAGAAGAACGAGTGGGGAAAAACGAACGGACAAAGAGACAGCCCGCTCGGGTCTCGTGCGGACGCCGCCACCCCAAGGTGGGATGAAGAGAGCGGTGACTCTTGATTTCACCCATTATGCCCACTTCCCCCCCAGCTCTTGCTTTAGTTTATCAGGGATACAGTCTTCACGGGGAAAGGAGAACCGGATGGAAACGAATGACAACTCAGCAACAACCAGACCAGATTTGTCGGTAGGGAGAGCACCGTCGTCCTGTAGGGAGCGAGTGTCGCTCGGAAGTCGAACATGCACGTGTTGCCTGCAGAAAAGTCCTAGTTTAATCTCTTGATGGTCACTTTTGAAAGGAATCAAGCGACCAGGGAGGGGGGGGAATCTGCCCCGCTTTGGGACCATGGACAGCTACTGGTGGTCTTTCGAAGCAGATGGTGTTGGAAAATCGGAACAGGCCTTCTAGTTGCCGAGGGGTGGGAAGCAAAAGTGGTGGGTCTGCATGGAGAGGGACGGGGGTCTTTCTGCCCTCTGATGAATTTGTTTTTTTGAGAAAGACACCCCGGCTTGTGCCAAGGATGGGTTACCAGCTCCCAAACTCAGGGAAATATTATATATATATACATCTCTAACTGACCCAGCCCCACCTCATGTCTCCTCAAAGAATCCGCGACAGAGCAGAAAGCTTTTGGGGTGAAACCACCGACGCCGATTTTTAAATTCGCAAAGGGATGAGCAGCCAAATTCCCAACCCTACACTGAGAAATCTAAGCCTTCTTTCTTCCCTTCCGGGACAGTACAATGCCGAGACCAGCTTTTCCCTGCTCAGGAACGGTCGCGCGTGGGGTGCGAGTGGCACATGGACCGGTTTGTCCTCAAGAGCACCCACCCACTCACCCCAAGCAGAAACGTAAGAAGGCTGAGCCTCTCCGTCCCCACCCGAGGTTTCGGTCAGAGAAACCAAAGCTTTAAGGCCACCGATTTTGTGTTTTCCCGACCCCCCCCTCTGCCGTGCCCACCC